CAAACAGCTACTATTGCTTGTTTACATGGCGGGACCGAGTGCCTGACAATCGTGACTGCCCCCCAACACCGGCCGCCCCGAGAAGTCTTAAGTTCAACACTCAGAGCCACCGCAATGGTCCAGCTCATTGGCTGGTGTGGTTCCCTAGTATGACCCATTAAGCTCAACATTTGTGCTGATGGAATCGCGATCTAAGTTAAAATTCAGGCTCTCTTTTGTTGTTTGGCCCTGGGTGGGGGCGAAGCTGGGTCACGCCGCCCCGGAGCGGGGCACGGGCGGAGCGGGGCTGGCTTAGTGCGAGGGCAGAGGTTGCAGCACGGATCCGTCTGCCAGTTCGTCTGTCCGTCCATCTGTCCACCTGCCCACCCGCCCAGCGCTGAGGGCAACACGCGTGGAGCGCCCCCTAAGCGAGGCTGTGGGACATGATGGGGAATCCGGCGGTGGTCGCCGTCCATTTAAAACTTAATCTCAAAGTGTGTGTGTTGGGGGGGGGGGGGTGTCCAAAGCTTGGAAGCTGATCGTTTAGATGATTCCAGCGCAGAGCGCTCTGCTGGGCCCTGGAGGTGGTCAGAAGGGCTTCTGTGGGCTCTCTTGCAGAGAGCACATGGCCAACAGGGGTCTGACCTTGGCCCGCCCGGGACCCTCTGGGGTCTCTCCCTGCCTCACCCCCGCCCTGCAAGGAGGCCCTGCTGTGGGCGGAGTCCTCCCAGTGGAGACCCTGAGCTGAGGGCCCCGCCCAGCCTCCCTCGGCCGCTGCAGGTGCCGGCTGCGGCTGCCATCTGCCCGGGAGCTGGGGACAAGTGCCGGTGCCCCTTCCCCACGCCTGCCTGGGGCGCGGCGCTGGGCGAACGTGGGATGGTGGAGCGCGCGCCTCTCAGCCCCGGAGGGGGCACTCAGCTCCTCTGCTGGGGCCGGGGGCGCGCGGAGGGCGTGGGCTCAGGGTCACCGCCGGCATCGGGTTCCCTTTCACTTGTACAAAGACTCTTGACGCCTGGGCACATCAATATCCTTAATGACAGTGAGAGGGGCTGGGGCTCCAGACGGGCCTCGCCCCCGCCCACCTCCGCCTCCCTGCGCCCTCGCCCCTGCAGCTCGCTCTTCTTCTTCCCCTTCCCTGGCCCCCTCTGTCTCCATTCTCCTTCCCTCCCCCCGCCCCCCCCAACTCCCGCCTGTCTCTCTCCTTGCCTCTTCCCCCCTCCCCTGTCTTGGAGTCTTAGTGTCCTTCCTCCCTTTCTCCTACTCTCCTCTCCTCTCCTCTCCTCCCCTCCTCTCCCCTTCCCTCCTTCCCCTCCTTCCCCTCCTCTCCCCTCCCCTCCCCTCCTCTCCCCTTCCCTCCTTCCCCTCCCTTCCTCCCGATCCCACAGCTCCTGTGCACACACAAACTTTCACCCAGCAGTGGGGGCCCCAGTGGGCCTGTCCCTCTGTCTGTCCATCCCAGCTGGGCCCAGCACCTTCCCTCCCAGGCAGATCCTGGAGGCTGAGGCCCAGGGCAGGGTGGGGGGAGGGGATCGCCGCGCTCCAGATCCTGAGCCGGTGCCCGAAGGCCCAGGGCTGGGCAGCTGTCTTTGCTGATGCCCCGTGCCTTGCCGAGAAATTAGAACTGAGAGTTTGGGTGCGGGGCGCCATGCGAGGAGTGAGTTTTGGGGAGGATTTTCTGTTTTGTATTTTTTATGACCATATATAATTTCGCATTTCTCCCCTCTGCCTTGGCTCCCAGATGTGTCCCACATTGAAGAATTATCTCTCCTCCCTAGAGTGAAATAAATGCAATCAATATGAGTATTGCTCTCAGGGCCTTGAAATATTACATTAATGTTCCATGTGGTGACATTTTAGCTGGAATTTTCAAATACATTATGATGGTTCAAATTAATATTTATCAGATCAGCTTTTATATTTTGCAAAAGAGAGAGAGAGGGAGAGAGGGAGAGAGAGAGAGAGAAAAGGAAAGACAGAGAGAGAGAGCATTATTAAAATACAAAATGCAGATGGAGTCTAAAATCGATGGTCCATTTTCCCAGCACTTTTCAGGGGCTGTCTTTAGCTTTCTGGTTTGTTTTTAAATTTATTGGTGTTTCAGGCAAATCTATTGGGCTCCCTCGGCCCCCTGGCTGGCCTCCCCTCCTGGTTCCTCTGGCGGCCTCAGGTCCCTCCTTTTCTCTCTTTCTCTCTTTATTATCCTGAAATGTAAATTACGACATTAGCCTGGTCCTTATTTTTTTTTTTTTTTTAACTCTCCGATGATTAAATCTGCTACACGACATCCTTGTCCTTTCTATAAATTAAATCATCTGGCTTTGCACCTTCGGCTCGGGGCGGATGCCACCCGGGCGTCAAGGCAG